CTGAGCAAAGGGAGAGAAAAGGGCGGTCCGGGAATGAAGCCGAGGCTCCATGCAGCCTCTTATCTCGGTGGAGAGGTGCTGGCAGGGAGCAGATAGCAAGAAATCTGAAGCTATCAGCCTCCAGTCAGCAACGGGCTGCCACCATCCCATCCTGGGCCTCCTCTTACACGTTAAGCTGACCCTCTGTTCTCTGTCAAGGGAGAGGCCCAGAAAGGAAGGTGCACGACCAGTCTCCTTATTAACATCTTGCACACATGCCCGAAGCACACAGCAGGTACTCATGCCATCAGTGCAGAGGGAAGAGAGATGCTCCCCACACACCCAGGTCAGCAGCACACCCTGCAGGACTAGAAAGGCCAGAGCCACATGCTCCACCTCAGCACCTGCAGACCCAAGCTCCAGCCACACACCCGCCTGCCCCACAGCCCTTGCCCTGCTGTGCCACTGCCACCCCACCACCTGCACAGAGCTGAGCCCCTCTGCTGCAGGGAGCAAGGGGTGCTCGAGGCAGCCAGGAACCCCCTCTCCTGCTGCAGCTACCCATGCTGGCCTTGGGCAAGCAGGCACCAGAGCAGAGCTGCCAGGCTCGAGCCAGCAGAGCTCTGGGAAAGGAATGGATGGGAGGAAGAAAATGAATACAGGAGTCCTGGATCCCTTGAAGATGGAAAATAGGCCAGGGTCCTGGCTCTGCTGTTCAGAGGCAGGGGATTCCCTAGTGAGGTGAGAGTCTGAGTAAGTAAAGGATTAGCAACAGCATGAGACATACTCCCCACCTCTGGTTCTCTATCCAAAAATGATGTTGCAGTGTATTGCAACTATAGTCAGAGCAAACACTTTTTGCTGTTAAACAGTGAAAGATCTGAAGAGAATTAGTTCCACTAATCTTAACTGCATCCCAGCCCCATCTGTGCACTCACAGATACACCCTGCCAAACACACACTCTGGAACCAGCACAAGCTGTTCCACAAGCTTGCAAGGACACGGCAGCCACACGCAGCTGCAGCAGCCAGGCAGGAGAGCTGGCACTCGGGACAAGCACACAAGACTACACAGCTTTATTTCCAAGTTCCCAGGACTCACACGCCTTAAGCATCCCTTCTTACTGCTCAGCTGAACAGCAAGTCCCAGCACCCTTATACCATGGACCTCAACACTAATGGCACAGCAAGGAAAGTGGCAGGACTGACACCCACCAACCAAACCACGGCCTGAGAGGAAAGCATTCCCACACCTTATACATCAGAAAGTGACGGGGCAAGGCTCCTACCTCATTTTTCCAATCTTTTGGAAAATCTTTTGGCCCAGCCAGACCACTGAGATATTACCAGAAGTAGGCAGTGAATGCTGCTACCATCAACAAGTACCCTGAGAGCACAAAGCAGTGCTCAGCCACTGCCCCACACCAGACACTCACCTCTTCTCCTTTACTGAGTCGATCAACTAACATGTGCCTGGAAAGAGAGCAAGGGAAGCTCAGTCACATGCTGGAAGCCAGAATCAGCAGAGGAGTACAACTGTCAAGAACAGCCTGAGCCTCCAGGTAAAGAAAAGGCATTCCTCTTGTCACAGTTCATTGGGAGCTGCCCCAACATCCACCTTTGGTTGTGAGCAATCACCACAGATGACCCCCTGAAGGCTTCTCCTCTGCAGTGCAGGGATGCATATGCAAGTACAACTTAGTTTGCCTACCCAAAGAGAAACCAGTCATAGGCCACTGTCAGGTAGAGAATCTCTGACGGCTCCAGGGATGCATGGATCAGCCCATCCTGCAAAGCAAATGAGAGCAGCTTTCAGGTAGCAGGCCTGGGGATTGGGACTTGAGAACTCACAGTCTACTGAAAACTGTCACAGTGATCCAGGAAGCCCAGCTGGCTCCATGTGCCCGTAATGCCGTGCCTGAGGGCAGGACAGCATGTTGGGCACCACAGCAAAGCCAAGCTACACTCTCAGAAGGCAAGACAGTCAAAAGGAACATTAACTGTTCCACCATGCCCTGATGACTTGGTCACTCCCTCTCCAAGCAAGCACCCCCAGAAGCAGAGCAGATCAGCTAGGTACTCACAGCCCACAGGGAGAGGCGCAGCAAGGAGATGAAGAGAGGAGTTCGATCCCAGCCAGATATACAGTGCACCAGGAGCCCACTGTCATCTGTTCCAGGTGGGAGTAAGAAGAAGGGGGGAAAAAAAAGGATGTTGTAACAACCACAATGGCTTTATGGCAAATCTGTAGTGACAAGCTACCCTGCATCCCCACAGCCTGGGCTTAAGAGCAGAGCTCAGCCACCAAGCCAGAACATTTTGTCTTGAACACAGCAGCCAACAAATTGCTCAGAGTGTCCTGGGTTGTCAGCAGTCCCAGCTGATGTGCTGTCCTGGTCCTGACAGCTGCTCAGGACATGAAGTCACTAGGTATGAACATCACTTTGCTACCCAGACATACACCTACCCAGCTGCAACCCACTATCACAATCTATCCCCACATCAGAGATGGATGTGCTCCAACAGACCATTTCTGCAGCCTCACCAGCCCTCCTACTGATACATGCTGAGAAGAGGCACACACCACTCCCCTCCAGAAAACTCACAGCATGTCCCAGCACAACAGCCACTGCAAAGTCTGCAGCTGGCTGAGGTGGCAGAGCCAGCCATGACTCCAGCTATCCAACAGTGCCAGGCACAGAGTGTCCAGAGGAATGCCCACCTAGAGCAATACATCCTCTTCAAGGGGTTGGGATGGCTGTGATGATGGAGGATGGAAAGGGCTCTTAAATAGACATCTAATGAGATCCCAGGTTGGGGGGACAAAACACAGATGTTCAGCAAATATAGAGCAAGAGTCAGTGAGGAGGGGAACAAACGTTTTTTCTCTTCCGCTTTAAAGCAGTAAAACCTTAGGTAAAGCTTTCATATATCCTTCCACCCCTGAGAAGAGAGGGTCTTCAAGGGATCAGGAGCTCCCCTCTCAAGGAGGGAAGCTGGAGCCCTGAGCTGCTAGGTCTGTCACCCTGTCTTGCAGGAAGAGAAGTGAAACTCTATAAAGCAACTCTTCTGTATTGGGAACTGATCCACGGTGGCACTAATCCATCAGCTGTTCTTCCACAGAAAGCAACTGTGCCAGTTAGGCTGCTGGGAGCAGGGAGTTTACTTTACCATCACTATTGATGATGGAGATCAGCAGCTTCAGGTAGTTCTGTGTCTGTTGCACGAGGTCCCAGCTCTACACAGAAAGAGAAATGTTGATGGTCAGGGTCTGCCCACTGCAGGTCTGAGCCCACCATGCTCTTGGCTTCTCTCTCCAGAACAACAGCAGAGCAGATATAACCCTGTGGCCATTCCTCCAAGTGACAGACTTGCTTGGTGCTCTAACTACTCCCCACATCCTCTGCAAAAGGCACTTTGGGACAACAGACCAGGTGGGGAAAAATAAATAAATAAAAGGTCATGTCTCCTGTCTGCCTGGGTGGCACAGACCCTGTGTGCCTGCAGCCCCAAAGCTCTGGGCAGACCATGCTCAGGGAGCTAGCAAACACCACGCTGACCCTGCAGGCTGAAGGGCTCAGCAGCCACAGTGCAGCTCTGCGGGGGACACAAACAGCATGAGGGGAGAGCAGGACCAGGTCAGCAGCCTCTTTCCACAACCCACTTTGCCCAAAAGGCTCTGACCCTTGTAAATGGCCCCAACAGGCTGTCTGTGGAGCCACTCCCAGCTGCTCCAGTCAGGCACCGGACTTCTGCAGGAAAATGGGACAGCAGTGGCAAGGAAAAGGTGAGGAGAGGGCCACATGTTTCATCATGACAGTGTTAGTGGTGTAAGTGACATCTGATCCCCAGCAACAGAACACTTGCTGTGTGCTTGGATGTGCCAATATGTGCATGAGACCACACTTAAGACAAATGTCACACGAAGAAGGCATCGCCCTGTGGCAATCCCTGCACAGCAACAAAGCAGTAGGAGAATGGGGGGGTGACACTCAGCATGGGCCAGAAAAACACATCCTTCCAAAGTCTTTTATCTGCCCAGTTCAGTCTGGCCTTGTGCTTATGCCAGAAGGAATCACCTGATTGTCCAGACTGATCTCTCTGTATCACAAAGCTGTGTTCAGTTGCCACACACACCCCCTGAAGCTGGCACTTGGCAACAGCTCTGCCCAGAGAAGCACCTCAGCTAGGGGTGACAGCTCACTGCTCCTCTGACAGCACTCTCCAGATCATCCTCAAAAACAACATGCAAGATTGCTTTTCCTTATTTGAAGGTCTGATTTCAGACCCTAGATATTGCTTCCTGTGCTGCTTTTTCTTCCCACATTGAAGAGTACTTCAGAATTAGTATTTTCTCCCTGCAAATGTACTTACACATTAATCAAGTCAACTCTCCATCACCCTTGTGATCAGCTAAAGAGACTGCAAACTTTAGCTTGAAGTGAAGCACCTTCTCCAGCCCTCAGATAATTTCTGCACCTGATTTATAACACCCTCTTCAATTTTTAATATCCTTTTTAAAATACTGGCTGCTTAGTATTCTAGTGAACAAATTTCCAACCACAAACAAGCTGTGGCCCCATTAGTTCTGCCTCAACACTGCAAGCTACTTTTCTGTGATTCTCCTTGTGCTGGGACTCAGACATCATTTCCATCACAACTGGCAAACCTTGGCAAAGCACAGGGAGCTCTGCTAGCCCTGTGGAGCATCCAGCTGCAGAGCAGTGTGACATGCTCCAGCACAGTCAATCATCACCAAACCTGGGGGGCTGGCAGCTCCACTGATGTGTGAAATGGAGCAGGCTGATCAGCAGTACAAAGTGATGCTCCCTGGCATGAACAGTCAAAGGTAAACCTCAAAGCTTGGACAAACAGAAAAGTTCAATTACTACTTGTGATGCTGCCACAGTAATCAGGAAGTGAGATGTGCTATGGTCAATTAGGATTTTCCACTCTGCTCCTGGGAGAGGCTCCCTGCACACCCATGAAGATGGTGCCTTGTCACTTGGCTACTGCTCACACAAGGGAAAGATGACCTTTCCCAAGATTCTCCACAGACAAAGAAGCCTGCCCACATGCCTAGCTAAGCCTGTGAGCAAGTCATACTGCTTTCCATTTCCTGGCATATTCCTCATCTTTGTTACTGACAGATTTCCCTAATGGATTGCAACCTTTGTGTAAGTTACAAAAAGAAAAAGATCTGACATTACAGTCAGCTGCCTTGGGACAGACCAAGCCACGGAGCTTTTGGATACAGGATCTCCACTGCCACTCTGAGCAGTCAAGTGAGCAGCCTTGCTCCCACTGGGATGGTTCAAAGTGAGCCAGATTACAGCAACAAGAGCAAATCAGACTTCAAATCCTTCCTGAATGAATCTCTGACCTTCTGCAGAGACACCTCCTTGGCTCACCTGGTACTCACTCCAATCAATATTCAGAGATTGGGTCAGAGAGACTGGGATACTTAATGGAGCATCTACGTAATCCTGCAAAAAAGCCAAACACAACTGGTCAGAGAAAAACCAGGACTTGAAGGCAGTATTTTTCCAGAGAAAGTAAACCAACAAATGCTAAATAGTGCACCTAGAAGAAAATGTCTAAGCAAAGCATCTTTGGATGCAAAAACCCGCCATCGGAAGAATTAACTTACAGCCTCTTAGGACAAAAGGAGGTTTTCTGTGCTCCCACCAGTGAAAGTCAGGGACAAGCCACATAAGCTGCTGACTTCCTGTAGGGCTGCTCCACTCACCCAACCACCTCCCTCAGCAGGAGACAGAATTTGAAGACAGAACTGAGAAGAGAGGCTGCCAATAAGACATCCAACTCAAAAAGAGGAGCAACCCATACCCCCCAGGAGAGGTCAAGCATCCTGGACTTCAGGATAATGATTCATTTATCTTACATACACTTTTTACAGCAAATAACTTGGAACATTCACTATCTGTTTTGTTTGTCCTGTTGGCTTCCTCCTTGTGATCAGAAATGATCACATGACACACACACTGTCATTCAGGATCTCTGAGGCAAGACTTAAGCCCACTAAAGCCCACAGCTCCTCATTTTGTAACAGCCATGTACCTGTTTCCAGTTAAATATAAGACCTTCAGCTGTATAATCCCGGTCTTTATACTCCTTAAAAAATTCACATCCTGCAAGGAAAAAGAGATAATGAACTAATAATCAGCTAACTGGTATCTAACAAGTGGAGAGCCCTGTGGGACTGGAAGTGCTGGCAGTCCCGGGCTCCAGAGCACCAATCAAAACCTCTGCCTGAGGGAAGAGAAGAGCAGTAATAATCAGAACAGTCTGCAGCACAGCCTCCCAGCAGCACCAACACAGAGCACTCAGCAGTGAACACACTCAAACAGCAAAGGGCAAACTCCAAACACAAAGCAAACGTGGAGTCTGAGGGACTGATTTCATTCTTTCCCAAACAAAAGGGTTCACCAAGGAGCTATGCTTTCCAGGGCCACTGACTTTGGTACAGATCTAAGGCATCAGCCTGACATGCTGAGTGAGAAGGAAGCAGCAAAAGGAGTTGCTGGCAGAGCCCTGGGGAAAGCCAACCTTCAGAGGGCATCTGCTGCAGGTAACAAGAAAGGGCTCTGTCAGAGAGAGCTGTGATTTCTCTCGCACTTAAGTCTCCTCTTCCAAACACACAACCTCCCCTATCTGAAGGAAGCAGGTACACAACCACTTCCAAGGTTCCCCCAGGCCCTCCCTTCCTGATGTTTTTGTCCTCTGGCTCCACTCTTCTCAAACAACTGTTTGAAGTCTCTGCTGCAAACTGCAGTCACTTAGTCACAGCTGAGCAGCACCATTAGCACTGCGGCTGCCTCCAGGCTACACAAAACAACCTCTCCCAAGGTGCTGTGCATGCCCCAGCACCACGGTGCTCACATTATCAAGACACCCCAGTGCTAGGCACTGAACACAGGCAATTCCTGCCCTGCAAAGTCACAAATGACTCCAATGGTGAAAAACAGCATCTCTGTGTGAGGACAGGACTAGCCTTGAAAATACAAGTGTCAGGAAGCAATGTGTCAGTTGATGTGTAACTCCAATTAAACAATGGGTTAAATCAAAGAATAGGGAATTGTGGCAGTAAGTATTACCATCTACAAACAGCAGCCTTTCTGCACAGGAAAACAAAAAAGCTTCTACAGATACTCCATCTTAATACAGTTCGTTCATCCTAGACAGTCATGTCCAGACACTGCTTTGCTCACCTGAGAAAACAGGATCTCAGAATAACTTCAGAGACAAATTATAAAATAGAAATTCTTCCATTGCAAACCTGGGAACATCAATAAGAACATATCATGGCATTCGGCCAGAAACCAAAGGGGTTGCTGATCTTTAGGTATGTATGCCTTAGATTTACCAGAACGACAACATTCCCCTCTGGAACAGCACTGCTGAAATCAGGCAGCATTTTTCCAGTTTTATAAGGTTTAGCTGTAACATGGCAGTGAAGAGCTGCTAGAAGACAGCAGCTGTCCCAGAAGGTGGAGGAGGAAGGGCCATCACTGAGGACTGCACACAATAGGCTGATCCCTGCACCGTAACAATTCCACAGCTTAAGTCTGTAGAAGCTCCTCTTCCTCATTCTCTACAAGCCCTACAGAAGCCCTGTGCACACTGCCTGTTTGCTGTGGCAGCAACATACACCTGTGCCACGTGCTCCAGAAACCAGTAACCCTCCTGTTCCTGTATGCTTCTGCAGGGCAAACTCAACAGAAGCCTTAATGCAGCTTCTCTGGATCATCACTAATTTGTGTATGAAAGGAAAAACACTCTTTTTAAAAGGTACAAAAATAACATGCTTAAGGGCAACAATGAGTAATCAAGGAAAAGTCTGGGTTTCAATCATCCACTACAGTTTTGCAGGTTTGTTTTGTCTTTTTTCCTCCTCTCCCTTTCTTTGTGCTTGAGGTCTTGCAGACAGACTCCAGCCCAGCAGCCTCTCCTCCAGCCCTACCTCCAAGCCTGACATCAGCAGGCAGGCAGAAACCTTCAGCTCTTCTGAAGTAAGAGTGCAACAACTGACCCAGCAGTGGTCACAGGGACTAATATATTCAGGGAGACAGGCTAGAGCGCTCTGCAGGCTCAGGTTAACAGGTTCTCCCCAGGACTGAGAGCATCTCACAGTGGTGCTCTGGAACACTAGGGCTGGAAAATACCCTTATGAATTGGGGTTTATACAAAACACAGAGCAAGATGTATGTTTTGCATCAAGTAGTACTTTGGAGTTGCAGGGGTCTCAACAGCCATCTTTAACCCCAGCTCCACCTCTGGGACTTTTTCTCCAAGCTCGAGTTCATTAGAACTGCTCAGAAATTACTTTGCCACCTCAAAGAGTTCCTAATGCTGGTTGACACCCCCAGAGCATCTGGATTGGTCATATGGTTCTCAGTTTAAAAGAGCTTCTCTCCAGAGGGAGCACAGGCAGCATTCAGCAAGTCACAGGCATTTCACCACACATACACACATAGGTAGTTCCCAGTCCCCAGAAACGGATTGTCACCTGTCCCTTGGGAGTCCCTCTGGACATCAGTCCTGTACCTGGATATGGGATGGAGAGAAGTGTGAAATCAGCATAACGTTGAGCTTTGTCCACCTTCTCAGAAGACGTCACACTGCGGAGGACAAGAGGAAAGCAGCAGACATTGGTAGAGTGTTTTTCAAGAAGATTCTTAGCACTCAAAATGTACCTGATGCATCTCCCTGCACAGTGATTTGACTCAGGAGTGAGCAGGGGCAGAGCATACTGAACACATCCCAGTAAACAGATCTAGCCCCAAAACACTAAAGCTTTCCTCTGGAAAGGAGATACACCCCTACCTGTTCCTATACTCAAGCAGAGGGCCCCTTTACTCCCTAATGGGGTGACTCACATCACCACAAGCTCTACAGAGAAAACTGAGTCAGACAGTGGCAAACAGGTGAAAGCAGGTCTCTTGCCCATTGCTACAGCTTCCTCTGGCCTAAAATCATGGGGTTCTCTTTACAGCATCAACTGACTGATGCTGCTGTAGGACTCTTCCAGGGGCTGCTCACAGGTTGCTGAGTGCAGGCCCAACAACAGTTCACACGTAAGGGCTATATTAGCTTTGATCCAAAGCCTGCAGGAAAACAAATGAACCCAGACTCACTTCAAGCCAAACTTCACCTTCTTGTTTTCCACCATCAGGTCACAGATGTAGCGGACAGACAGGTACCGGAGCAGCTTGATGTCGTGCCCTCTGACCTTGTCAAACAACTGGGAGTCTGCATTTCTGCAAGGCAGAATAAGGCAAGATGAGCATGGAAGACTGACCACGTTGATTCCCTGCACAACACTGCCACAGTTCCTCCCTGAACTGCTTCCAGTCAGAAGCCACATGGCATGAGCCTTGTCTCCACAGCTTTGAGTCAGAATTGAGGGACTGAGCCAGTCAGTTTTGGTCCAAACTCCCTTTTTCCCCCATCCCAGTGATGCATACAAACCTAAGTGCAGAATCTTCCTCTGAAATGTCTTCTGCATCTGCCCAGGCATCATCAGAACCTCCTGCAAGGAAGGCATTAAGAACTGAAGCTTGTGTAAACCAACTCAATCTGAGAAGACATGCACGTGTCCAAAAAGGTCCTGGTTTGGCACCCTCTCTCCACACGTGCTCTCTGTAGTTCCCATATTTCCTCTTCCTGAAAAACCTGTTTTCTAATGTGACCCACACCTCCCTTGTCATTTGATCTGCCTACATCCTTAGCAAAGGATGTAGGCAGATCAAACTTTCTGTCTGACAGACAGAAGGACACCCCAGAAGTGTCAACCTCAAGCTCTTTTGTCACTGCTTCTTATGAGCCATGGCACTGTCCTGCAGCATGGTGCCTGGACACGAGATTTCAGCCTTTGCTCTGTTACACAGGGCTTGATACAAGCAGGTCCACATGGGCTCTCAGGAAGTTTGCTCTTGTGTGCAGGTCACTGTCACAGCACTGACCCACCTCACCAGGCAGTGACAAATGTCTCCTCACTCACCTGAGAAGATGTAGTTGTAGCCAGTGCGCCCATAGAGCTCCCCCCAGCCGGCCAGTGTCGCTGATCTGCAGATATGCTGGGGGAAGAGGCTGGGATTAACCACTCCTGCTCCAAGGGTCTTCCCCTTCCCTTCACTGTCACCTTACAGAGCCATGGCTGGTACCTACAGCTACCACCTCTCCTGCAACCCTAGTCCAGATGGAGCTCTCCAAACACATCAAACTCCCAAGTGGCTTTATCTGTAGCCAGTGTTAAATCACATTTTCACCTCCCATTCTCCAATTCACTAATACAGTCAGTTTCTACCAAGTTAGCAATGCCCATGCTCTGATAATACCCTGCTTGAGCCCTGCTTCCTCATTCCTGTGAATAAGACTATGGATGGTCCCAGTATGGCTCCAGGCAGCTCACTCCTGCAGAAAAAGGTCAGCAGGTTCAGCCCACGATGGCTTCAGTCAAGCCAGATTAAAATTGTCCCAGGTATGATTTTGCTATTCATGTACTGTTTCTAAATTGAACTAAGAAAACTGAATTAAGCTACTTAAAACTCTAAATGAGACTGCTCCTACAGGGAGCTTAAGTAATCCTCACAAAAAGTAATCTAATTTCACTTTCTTACAGATCCCCTTGCAGACAAGCCCACACATTCATAAGACCATTTATGCAGCCTTGTCTCCCCAGGGAACAGACAAGGGAAGACTTCTCTTTAGAGAAAAAGGTTATTCAAAGGGAGCTCCCTGCTGGAAAGAGCAAGGGGCAAAAAGTACCAGTAGTGGTCTTTCCCCTTTCAAAGGCCAAATATCTTGGGTTATTCAGCAGGGACATAACTATGGAGAAAATGTGAGCTCTCTGGTACAATGCTCATGACCTGGAGAGGTAAAACAGCACGAAGTCTCCACAGATGATTTATGCAGCCTAGACAGCAAATGCTACCTACTATAGGCTGGCTGCTTGTACCTAAAGGACATATTTTTACAGACAACCAGCTGAAGAGGTGAAGGCAGTTCACAGGGCAGGGAGAAAGGTCATTTTCTAAGTGAAAACAGGTAACCCATGGAGGTTTACCTTTCCGTTGTACAGAATGACTGGGCAAACAAATCGTCCTCTACACCTCGCCATCTTGCTTCGGTTGATAAGGTCCTGCAGTTTGCCAACCTGCACAGGGCTCTCAAACCTAGAGGACAGAGACTGGGTTCAGTACACACAGCATCTGCTCACACGTCTGTCAACGAAGCTGCTGCAGGCACCCTGGGCTGTAACCCCCATCCCTTGGCCTAGAAGGCCAGCAAGCAAGAGGACACCTCTTCCAGAATTGCTTCTGCTGCTACACAACATGTACAAACACTTTTCTGTCTCCTTTTTCTGTATTTTGAAAGAACAGCTGCACAGCACACAACAACAAGCACCTTCAGGAGCTGGCAATATGAGCACCATCAGGAAGGTCTGCTGCAGACCAACACATGGATTACTAATGATGGGCTATCAGAGTAAGCCAGTGTCTGCAAAAATGTATGTTTCTCCTTTCCTCCCCACCACCTTTCTAGCAAAAGGCAGTTCAGCACTACCAGTGGAGTGAATTCACTATCAGAGTGATAATTGTGCAAGGAAAAATACAGAACCAAAGCTTGAACACTCAATGAACCTTAGTTCTGGTCACTCCAGCTTGTGTGTTGTGAAGTAATTAGACAACTGCCTGTAAAAGAGCTAGAGGATTGAGCAAGGTAGTTACATTCACACCAGCTGCATCTGCAAAACTAGGTTTTGTTTGGTTTTCTAGTTAAAGTTAAAACAGAAATGTCTTCCAAGTTGGAGACATTTTGGAAACAAGTTAAAATTGCTGCAATTTGTCCAAATACCAGTCTACATTTGACGGGAAGCCAAACTGACACAGGCCTTCAGGAGGAACTGCCAGTGCAAGCAGGACCAGAGCTTCCACAAGAAATTGAAGAAGCAACAGACCAACATAATAGAAACCAGAAGGAGCCTGGACACACAAAACTACACGGCCATGCACTTAGACATGATGAGCAAGAATTTCCAGTCAGCTCTTCCCAGTAGCAAAGGTCAGCAGAAGATACTAGATGAACTGGTTGTCCCTGGATGCTCATACGTTATCAACATGGTAAGTCTGAAAAAAGGGACCCCTAAGGTCACAGGAAACTCTCCAGGGGGATGGAGAAGTACCAGCATTACCATGCAGAGCACAAGATCTCAGCTGAGATAAGGCATCTGATTCTAGTGACCTGCCCACACCTGAAAAGGCACAGCAGGATGATCAGGGTGGGCAGGGACACTCTGTGCTGCAAGAGAAACCACCAAAGATTGACTGGCAGAGGAGATGAAGGGAACTTCCAACAGAGGGAGAGGAGAACTCAAAGGCAAAGGAAAATGCTGGTCTAAGAACAAACACATACCTTTGCAAGATAAAAGAAAGTGCTAAGCTTCAGAACCAGTGAGAGTGTGGAGTAACCTACCTGCAGCTGCCATTCTGGGAAGGATCAAAAAAAAGAATCTATTATTAACATGAAAATTGATCTGTTTATGGAAAAAGATTATACAAGGTGATAGCAGTGGAAGTGGGGAAACAGAAAATAAGACCTTTTTTAGTAAAAAAAACAACCAAAAAGGATTAAATTCTCAGAATTCCTAGTGGAGGCTTGAGATTCTTCATGTTTTCCTACAGACACCACCTATTTT